GGGGGACGGTCATTAGAGAGAAACAAGGTCCAGATTTGTGGTTGCTAAAAAAAAAATTTACTGGCTGTAGTGTTTAAAAAAAAAAAAAATTGAGCAAGTGTGGGTGGGATGGGGAAAGAGAAACTTTTTTTTTTTTTTTTAAATGTGATACTGGGGATTGAAGCCCGTGCCAGGCACATACTAGGCAAGCAGTCTATCACTGAGCTACATCTCTAGCCCTTTTTTGAGATGGAGTCAGGATAAATTCCCCAGGCTGGATTCAAATTTGCAATTCTCCTGCCTCAGCCTCCCAGGGAGCTGGGATTACAGATGCATACCACCAGTGTGCCTGATTCAGACCAAACACACACACACACACACACACACACACACACACACACGTTTCAGTACTGGGGACTGAACCCTGAACTCAGGGGTTATTTACTTTGACCTATATCCCCGGCCCTTTTTTAAATTTTTTATTTTGAAATAGTCTCACTAAGTTGCCCAGGCAGGCTTTGGACTTGTGATCAACTTGCTTCAGCTTCCTGCAAAGTTGGAATTAGAGGCAAACAACACAAAAGTTATTTTAAAAAAATGATAAAAGCTCAATGACACATTTGTGTATTCATATGAGCTCCAGATTGACCCTATCTAGAGAGAACCTTTACAGTTGACATATCCTTCCAGTCCCTGTGTATGTGCAGGTGTGCATGCATGTGTGTCCTCCCCCTAATGTAGAATAATAACGTGTACCTTTTTTTTGGTTTGATTTTTCACTTACAAATTTTTTTTTTAATATCTTTATTTTTTATGTGGTGCTGCTGAGAATCAAACCCAGTGCCTCAGGCATGCTAAGTGAGTGCACTACCACTTGAGCCACATCTCGGGCCTTTCACTTACAAATTTTTAAAAAGATTTTTCTTTATAAACCACTGAACATTTACTTTTTTTTAAAAAAAAATATATATTTAGTTGTAGTTGGACTAATACCTTTTTTAAATTTTTTTATTAGTTGCACATGACAATACAATGATCTTGACATATCATACATTTGAATCAAATGGGTATATTTTCTCATTTTATAATACCTTTATTTTATTATTTTTATGTGGTGCTGAGGATTGAACCTAGTGCCTCACGTGAATGAGGCAAGTGCTCTACCACTGAGCTACAACCCTAGCCCCTCACTTAGGAATTTAATCAATATTTAAGTCAACTGTATTTTTAAAAGAATAACTGTATTGTATACTGTTATATGTACCATAACTTTACATGCTGATGGACATAATTTAAAATTTCCTAAATCACTTATACCCAGAAAAATTCTTAATCTTACAATAGATCACATAAGTTACTGTTTTATTTGGCCATCTACCAGAAATAGAATTGCTGAATGCAAAGATATGCATATTAAATTTTTTAACAGCATGTTTAAAAACCATATTTAAAGAAGACAGTTTATGAAAATGATTGTTTTTCTCAGCCTTTTAAACATTGACTACTTTAAGTCTTTTAATGACAAGCAATATCTTCTTTTGTTTGTTTGAAACAGGGGCTTACTATATTGCCCATGCTGTCCTTGAACTTCTGGTTCCAACCCATCTTGCCTCCAGCCTAGCCTCCCTCATACCAGTTGGGACAATAGGCATGGGCTACTGTGCCCAGCTTTATCTTTTATTTTTTTCCCCCATGCTAGGGATCAAACCCAGTGCCTCACACATTCTAAGCAGGTTCTACCATGAAGCCACATCCCCAGCCCTATCTTACTTTTTAATATGGATTTTTGAGGGTTTGTTGAGCATGTCTTTTACAAAGTTTTCTTTTCCCCCTGGTGTTGGGGATGGAACCCATAGTTTTGAGCATGCCAGGTTAACAGTCAACCACTAGACCACATCTGAGCCATGTAAATATCTTTTATGATTTTTTTTTTTTTTTTTTTTTTTTTTGGTACTGGGAATTGAACCCAACTGAGCTACATTCCCAGCTTTTTTTATTTTGAAGCAAAATCTTGCTAAATTGTTGAGGCTGCCCTAGAACTTGCAATCCTCCTGCGTTAGCCTCCCGAGCTGCTGGGATTACAGGTGTGCATTACCATGCCCAGTTCCCAGCCTTTTAAAATATTTTATTTTGTTTATTTTATTTTTTTTGTGGTGCTGGGGATTGAATCTAGATTCTTGTGCTTGCTAGGCAAGTACTACCACTGAGCTATATCCCCAGCCTCTCAATCCATTTTTTAGTTTTTATTTTGAGACAGTGTCTGAGTTGCCCAGGCAGGCCTCAAATTTGTGATTCTTCTGCTTTAGCCTCCTGAGTTGTTGAGATTATAGGCGTGCGCCACTGCCCCTGGCCAGGAATCTTTTTTTATTATCTTTTAAGCCTTGTTTCTTATCTTGCCCATTTAAAAAAATTGTGTTTTTTATCTAAATGATTTGTAATAGTTGTTCACTAAACTGCATATTAATCCTTCAAAAATTTTTTTTTTCAGATTGTTTAAAAGCTCTTCACACTAGCTAGATATGGTGGTATATACCCATAAACCATAATACTAGCTATTTGGGAGGCTGGGGCAGGAGGATCACGAAGGTTTTTGTTTTTTGGTGGTGGTTGTTAATAATTTTGATTTAGTTGTAGTTGAACACAATACCTTTTTAAAATTTATTTATTTTTATGTGGTGCAAAGGATCAAACCCAGTGTCTCTTGAACGTGTTAGGTGAACGTTGTACCACTGAGCTACAACCCCAGCCCTTGTTTGGTTGTTTTTGCAGTACTGGGGACTAAACTGAGAGGTGCTCTACCACTGAGCTATATTGCCAGTCCTTTTTATTTTTATTTTGAGACAGGGCCTTGTAAATTTGGGAAGGCTGGATTTGAATATGCAGTTCTGTCTCCAGACTCCCAAGGAGCTGGGATTGCAGGTGTGGGCCATCAGTCCTGGCAGGATCTCAAGTTTGAGGCCAGCCTGGGCAGTTTAGTCAGACTCTGTGGTAGAGTGCTTGCTTGCCTACCATGTACAAGTACTAGTACCTTTTCATTTCTTTTTCACTTTAAATCTTTAGTGCATCTGTAATTTTATTTTTGGAGGCACTTTCATATTCCTGTAAAAATAACTTACTGTTCCTGATTCTGTGTTTTATCATTCAAAATGAAGATATTGAAATTCTAAATTTATTGGTAGTTGTGGCACCTGTTAAGAAATTATAGTCCTAGCTACATAGGAGGCGAGGTGGGAATCCAGGAATTGGGAGTAACATAGGGAGACTCTGTTCAAAAAAATTTTTAAATTCTAAATCTGAAAACTTTTTTTTTTTTTTTAATAAAAACAGGCTAACTCGTGTAGTGAATCAGTTTTTAAGGTGTCAGGATAATATGGAAGAAAAATTGTTTTACACTTAGTTTCCTAGGAAACACAAAATTGCAGTACATTTTGAACATATTTTTCCTTTAAAAATTTTTGTTATGGAGAAATTCAACATATATAAGAGTCATGAGAGTGTAATGAACCCCCTGCGTACCTATGACCCAGTTTCAATAGCTGTTGACCAATTTGTTTCGTCTCTTTCAGGACTTAATTCCCTTCTCTGTTAGTTTGATCCAAATACCAGGCAAAACATCTTTTCCTTATGTAAATATTTAAGTATGTATCTCTAAGAGATAAGGACCTTTTTAAAAATCAAACATCAGTACAAAAAGTGGCTGAAATTCTTTGGTTAGTGTTCAAATGTGTGTTTTTATAATGTATTTCTTTGGGCATTTCCAATATAAACTATATCTCCTCAGTTGCAATTTGTAGTTATGATTAGATCAGTATTTAGTGTTAATCGTGAACTTTAGTAGCTAAGTCATATAGTGTATTGTGATTATTTGCATTTTCTGTGCAACTTATTTTTTCTGCAATTAATAATCTTTTGTTGGTTTAGTTATATATACTTATTCTCAAATTCTTTGTTGTGCAAATTAAGCACATTAGGTTAGCAAGTTGACTTTTTTTTTAAGCATATAAAGCAGGGTTTGACCTTGTTTTTATGGTGTTTCCAGCCCTCTATTTGGTATTTTCAAACATAATATAGTATACTGTATCTTTAAAATTACTAACATCTGTTTTAACTATTTTTGTTTAGCCTTAATGTTCTTAGTAGAGATAAGGAAACAAGTAACTAAAGTAATATGACATAAATGTTTGTTAGGTAGTAATTTACATTCTGTAGAGCCAGGCATGGTATCATGTGCACTGCAGAGACTGAGATGAGATGGAAGGATCCCTTGACTCTAGTTTGATTGAGATCAGGCTGGGCAGCATAGTGAGACCCCTATCTTTAAAACAAAAAGAAAGAAAAAAAATAGAATATTTAATAATATATGGTGTTTGAATTATGCTTATATTTTAGCTAAAGTAGGTGATTATTTTCATAAGTGCTTAGAAAGGAAATGGAACTTCTCAGAATTGTTGGATCATCAAACTATAACTTGGTACTGTCTAACATTTTCCAATGTTTGTGGGGATATTACTGTACATATATAATTTATTGATCCAGGGGTTTGATGAATTTTATAAATGTTTGCCTTTTCTTGCCAAATCAGCTTGTAAAATAGTTCAGTAAATTTAGAAAACTGCAAGCCATGGGGCTGTCTTATATGTGCCTTTAAAAACTTGGGTTTTTAAAAGTAAACTTATTATTTTTTTAGTATTTATTTTTTAGTTGTAGTTGGACACAATACCTTTATTTATTTATTTTTATGTGGTGCTGAGGATTGAACTCAGGGCCTCGCACGTGCTAGGAGAGCGTTCTACTGCTGAGCCACAACCCCAGCCCAAAAGTAAACTAATTTTTAATGGGCAAAATTATATTTAATATATACAACATGATTTTTTGATGTATGTGTAAAAAGTAGCTAGTTTTATTTTTCTTTTCAAAATAGTGTTCATAGGACTTTACTAAATATTTATTTCACTTCAAGTTGGGTGGAGTGTACTTTTTCTCCTGATGATTTTGTTCTCTCTGGTTTTATAGTGACAAAAATGCTGAGCTTCCTCCGTAGAACTCTTGGGCGCCGGTCAATGCGTAAACATGCTGAGAAGGAACGACTCCGAGAAGCACAGAGAGCTGCCACACACATCCCTGCAGCTGGAGATTCTAAGTCCATTATCACATGCCGGGTGTCCCTCCTGGATGGCACTGATGTTAGCGTGGACTTGCCGGTATGTGGGTTTTGCCGAGCTTGCAAATTCTATATGAGATTACTGTCTTTCTTTCTTTGAGCTTTCTATTGATGATAACTTTTGGGGGGAATTAGACAGTCTGGGTTAGTATGCATCAGGCACTTTAATGTTTGGGTACATGGATCAGGTAATCTTAGACCAAAAATACTTGGAATAATACTTCCTCTGGAGTACTAACCTGAAACATTTAAGTGATAGGGCGGTTATTGGTATGGATTAACCTGTGCCTGTTCATGTGTGCTCTTGATGATAACTGTAGATAGTATAATCTAATGAATTTCTTACAATCCTTGTTAAGCATTTATTAAAGCAATGAGTGTCTTTGGGAACCATAGTCAAATTTACATGTGTACTATATGACTTTCAGTTCTTTATACTTTCCAAATACTTTTTTTGGCAGAGGCAGGGTGCACGCTGGAAATTTAACCCAGAGGTGATTTACCACTGAGCTACATCCCCAGTTCTTTAAAAAAATTTTTTTTGTGTGTGTCTGGGGGGGTGGATAGGGTTCCACTAAGTTACTTAGGGCCTTGCTAAGTTGCTAAGGCTAATCTTGAACTTGCCATCCTCCTGTCTCAGTCTCTTGAGCTGCTAGGATTATAGGAGTGCAGTAGTGCACTTGGTGAAACCTCTTGCTTTCCTTAAAACAAAACGGACACTTCTCTACAGTCTTGTGTGCCTGTAGAAATTTTAATGAAATGAAGTGAGAAAAAGAACTTTCTTCATACCACTAAGATCTAACTGCCTCTTTGTTCCCAAAGTACCTTGCATTATAGATTTTTAAAAAATGAACCAATCTTTATTTCAGAAAAGGATATTATAATTGTATTTGTGTTTTAGGTGGTTCCCCACCCATCTCCAAATGCAGCGTCATTAATTCACAGGCTTTAAAAGGCTGGCGGGAAGCATTGGAGTTTCTTTTTGAACTACTTACTAATACCAGATCTCTTTCAAGTGTCTTTGTTCTTCATTCAAAAACTTTATGTATGTTGTGTGATTTGACATAGATTCCTGGGTGGTCCTTTGATGTCTTTACGCCGTCCACACTTTTTTAGTACCCACTCATATATACCTGAATCTCAATTTTGAAAGTCTCTTTAGGCAAGGCTATATATATAGCCTAGATGTTGCTACATTAGTTAAGTGGGCTCTGAAAGCCCTTAAACTTGGTGAGTTTAAGGAATTGGATAGTTTGTTCTAAAGACTTTTCAGATTAATTAAATAATTTGAAATGTACTGGGGATGTACCTTACACATCTTTTTTTGTTTTTGTTTTTTGGGTGCTAGGGATTGAACTCATGGCCTCATGCTTGCTAGGCAAGCACTCTGCCACTGAGCTACAATGCCAGCCATACCTTATACATTTAAAAATATTGGAATATGATAAAAATTAATGAAAGACTCAAGATTTCTTGAAGTTTTTTGGAGTTGTCATTATGTGTACTTGCTATTTTTATATATTAGTCTGTACGTTTTTGATTCTGTAAAACTTAAAGGAAAGTTTTCTTTCTATAAGGGCTTCTCAAGGATTGAGAGACATTCCAACATGAGATAGTTTAAGATAGTTCTCATGTTAACTTCTTATCCCATTTGATAAGAATCTTGAGTTTTGTGTACCAATCCATAAAAATATCATTAGATATGTGGTGAAAAGCTTGAGATTACTGGTTCCTGGAAAAGGTTTCCTATTACCTAATGTTTGAAGTATGAACTTGCAGGACTGTTGATGGATAGGTTGGTACTAGGAGAATTTGTAAAGCTTTTTTTCAAAAGCAGTGTATTATAGAAGAGAAACAGCACCAGACTTTAAAGTAGTGGAATAAATGTCTAGTGACTGGTCTAGAATAGTTTCCTAAGGTGTGGTGTACTCAGTAAGGTGTATGTGATGCTTGATCAAGTCCAGAAATACTAGCTGGCTCGTCACGAGGCAGTTGCAGTGAAACAGCCAGAATTTTAGATTTGAGTCCTTATGGAATAAAAACAATAGCCTTTTTTTTTTTTTTTTTTAGTTTTAGGTGGACACAAAACCTTTATTTTATTTATTTTTATGTGATGCTAAGGATCTTACCCAGTGCCTCACACATGCTAGGTGAGTGCTCTACCGCTGAACCACAACCCCAGCCAGAACAATAGCCTTTTTAGTCTTTGCTGGTGAAATCTTAAAGTTAGTAATGTAACTCTAGATACTTGCTTGAATATAAAATGGACATTTTCTTGCAAATAAAACCATCTTACTAAAGAAAAAGGTAGGTCAGAGGATTATTAATTTCTTATAAAATAAATGTAAGTTTTTGTTTTTTCTCATTTAGCTTTTCAACTAGTCTGGGTGATTCTGGGAGATTTAGAATTGATTTTGGAAATTGAATGAAGCACATATTCATTTCCTATTAGGATTAGGGTCACTAGTGATTATAGCTAGCCAGCATGGAATTAAGATGATTGCCCAGGTAATATATAAGGGATTATCTGTTGAGTATTTATTTTTGCAATGCTAGGGATCAAACCCAGAGCCTCACATATGCTAGGCAGACACACTACCACTGAGCTACATCCCCAGCAAGTGCTCTACCACTGGGCTACTCTCAAACTCTATGATTACATAGAAAAATTTAATTGGTGGACTTTGAATTAATGTATACTAGTGGTATTGATCATTTGGTTGGGAGTGAGAGTACTGGGGATTAAACCCAGGGATGCTTTGCCACTGAGCTTCATCCCAAGCCCTTAATTTTTTATTTTGAGACAGGATCTTGCTTATTTGCTTAGGGCTTCACCAAGTTGCTGAGGCTGGCCTCAAATTTGAAATCCTCCTGTATCAGCCTCTTGAGTCATTGGGGTTACAGGTAGTAGTGATTATTTTCTTATTCCTGCTCTCCTTCCTTTTGAAAACTGGGGAAACTACTTTCTCCTTTTTCTCTGCTCTTCCTTTTTCAACTAAATATAGTAAGAATACCTTTCAGTGATTCAGAGACATCAGAGAGAAATTTTTAACTCTTTTGATTTTTAAATTCTGTTTTAAAATGCTGCAGTAAATTCTTCGAATTCCTTTGAGAGTTTAGATTTCTATCAAGTAAACAATATGTCGTATAAAAATTTGCATCTTCTAAGTGTTAAATCAATATGTGTTATATCAAAAACTGTTATATCAATAATAAAATATTTGGCTAATCAATAGATAATAATTTTCATATACATACTTTACTGATAGCAATGTCAAAAGCTTTTAAATTATACAGGCCATGTATAGTTACACTTTTAAATATAGTAGTCCCCCTCACCTGTGGCTTCACTTTTCTGTGATTTTATTTTATATTTGTGTTAGAGATTGAACCCAGAGCCTCATGAATGCTAGACAGACACTCTGTCACTGAGCTACATCCCCAGCCCTTTCTATGATTTTAGTCACTTGTGGTCATCATGGTCAAAAAATATTGTGAAATATTCCAGAGATAATTTATAACTCTTAAAGTACATTGATATAATTTTCTTGTTTTATTATTATTTTTATTACTCTCTCCTGTGCCTAATTTATAAATTAAATTTTACACTGGGTATGTATACATAGAAAAAAATCTTTTTATGTGGTTTGGTACTGTCTGTGGTTTCAGACATACACTGAGGGTCTTGGAACATATGCCTTGAGGATAAGGGGATTACTGTAAATGAAAACCATCTCATATTCTTGAATTCGAAGACTTAAAGTAATTAGGATAACAGTACACTTCAAACTGTTTGCAGATTCAGTGCAGTCCTCGCCAGAATCCCAGGTGATATATTGTGGAAATCGACAAGCTGACTCTAAAAGTCATATGAAATTGCAGGGGACCCTGAATGGCCAAAACAGTTATTAAAAGTAGAATATTCACTTTTTAAGTACTTCCCAATTTTAAGACTTAAAACAAAGCAAAAATAATCAAGATGATGTGCTTTTGGCATAAGGATAGTCTGATGAATGGAATAGAATGGTAAATCGATCCATCTGTGGTCAGTTGATTTCCCCCTCCCCACAACCCCCCTACAAGGGTGCCAAGAGCATTCAATGGGGAAAGAATAATTGTTTTAACAAATGATTCTAGGCCCACTGGTTATCCATATGAGAAAAAATAAAGTTGAGCCTTTACTTCATACCATGTACAGATCAAAGAGCTGCACATCAGGCATGATGGCACATGGTGCCACTTAACTATATCCCCCTAGCCCTTTTTATTTTTTATTGAGACAGTTTCTTGCCAAAATTCCTTTAATTTGGAATCTTCCTGCCTCAGCTTCCTGAGTTACTTGGATTATAGGTGTTTGCCACCAGGCCCAACCTAGGTGATGTGGCAGTATTCTTAAATTGACTTCAGTGAAGTTATTCATATCTGTGAATATTCTAAAAATTCATTATATACTTTAGTGGCAAATGGTATGTGAATTATATTTCAATAAAACTATTTACAAAAAAACAAATTTTATATATTTCTGTTTAACTCCACTTAAACTTTTTAGGTTTTTTTTTTTTTTTTTTTGAGAGAGAATTTTTTAATATTTATTTTTTACTTTTCGGTGGACACAACATCTTTATTTTATTTTTATGTGGTGCTGAGGATCGAACCCAGCGCCCTGCGCATGCCAGGTGAGCACGCTACCGCTTGAGTCACATCCCCAGCCCCAAGCTTTTTAGTTTTTAAGAAACATAAAAATGGTACAGGTTTAATTTAAAGGTGATATGCTTGATTTGTTACAGGATAAAAAGCAGTGATGATGGGGTTTCAAACTTATACTGGCAGTGAGATTGCAGAGGAAGAAGTTCCCAGTACATGCATAGGGTATGGGAAGGAATAAAGATTAGAAATGAGTAAAACATAGTTCTAACTCTGCTGGATGGGGTAATATAAATTGTGTGGAAGATTATGAGAGTAAGTGAGCCATCATGAAGAGGGTGTTAATAGAATGGAAATCAAGAAGGTTTCAGAGAGTACTTTTAGAAGCTGTTTTAG